CCACGTTAATGTAACGTAATTTGCATGGCTTGTGTTCTTGTTTGGTGGTGTAACCATCATACGACACCACTACTCGTTTAAATGACTTGGACATTGATATAAATATTGCCCAATTCCACTACAATTATAACATTTGCACGATGATGACGCTGGTCGGAAAGTTGTATGACGTGGTTGAGAATAATTCTGATAATCATTTGACGAGGTTGTCGTGACCCAGAAGATAATATGATACCTATTGTAGAATATAAACGGAAAGAAAAGAGAGTTGTACATATATTCGAGAAAAGAAAAACGAAAGTCATATGGGAAGAAAAAGACATGAAAGGTTAGAACAGAACGAAAGATAACAGATAGATACAAAATAGAACCAATATAACAAACACATAGCAAAATGAAGATTGAAATTGCTAATTTCCAGAAAACTTCGTTCTTGCTCATGTGTTGGACAAGTGTCTCCTAACAACAGAACTTAGAATCGAGATCGGTTTATATCACTACAGCTACAGTACTAATTCGGCCTGGAACTTTCTTCCTTCAGCCCAATGGTGCGCTACTGGGAGCATGGCAACAGCACGCATGAGTCATACTGCAACCATGCTAAATTCGGGCAAAGTTCTTGTAGCTGGTGGGCACTACCAATCGTCGGACCTTGCTACTAGTGAACTATTTGATCCATCAACGGGCCAATCGACCACTACGGCCAGCTTGGCAACAGCACGCTCTGAGCATACTGCAACCCTGCTAAATTCGGGCAAAGTTCTTGTCAGTGGTGGTATCAGCGGAGGAGGAGCCTCGCCTATTGCTACTTGTGAAATATTTGATCCATCAACGAGCCAATGGACCAATTCCTCCAGCATGGCAACAGCACGCTTTTTTCATACTGCAACCCTGCTAAATTCGGGCAAAGTTCTTGTAGCTGCTGGTCGCCACGCATCGTTGACTCTTGCTACTTGTGAAATATTTGATCCATCAACGAACCAATGGAGTACTACTGGAAGCATGGCAACAGCACGCTATTATCATACTGCAACCCTGCTAAAATCGGGCATAGTTCTTGTCACTGGTGGTAACACCGGATCATCGCTTATTGCTACTTGTGAAATATTTGATTCATCAACGAGCCTATGGACCTCTACTGCAAACATGACAATAGCACACTCTCGGGATCCGGCACAACTGTTGAACTCAGGCGAAGTTCTTGTCGCTGGGGGTCAAAGCACATCGTCGGTTGTTGCTACTTGTGAAAAGTATTGTATGTGAATCATCTATTGTTTATGTTCATATAGAAGAAAGTCGGAGTATCTGACGATTAATAATAAATCTATGATTAACTAATCTACTCTACTAACTACATAACCAACTTATTTTTATTCATATAAATAAAGTTCTTTTTTCCTCATCTGGTCTATGGCCACAAGATTAAAGTTTGATTCATTTGTATTCTGTGATAATCCCAAGCAAAAGGTATCAGGTTCTCCTCAAATAAGCTCGATTTAGTCTGGAAAAAGTTGAGTTTTCCGGGTGTAGTTCTCCTTGCAGGTGTTTTCGTTTCATCTTGCACGCTTTATTTCATCTACCGTACTTCGGTTTGTGCACAAAAAAATCAAAACTAAAAAAAAACAATTTTCAAAAAAATTGGGTAAGTCGTTCCGTTTTCATTTTAAGAATTTTCCGGTTAAATTTCTTGTTTTCGGTTTATCATTATTTGTCAAACATCCGCACCCTCATCACCATCATCCTCTATTTTTCCGATGCAGTTTGCAGCATCTATCATTATATCTAGTGAATGTATAGACACTAGCTGCTTTTGTCGTCTGGGACAAAGAGTTTTGATATACTATTTAACATCACTTCTGATTGCAACACCGGGGTAGATATCACGCGACTCTGCCATCGACTTAACCTCTTTCACTCTTGAACTTCTGCGTGGCATTATCACAGAATACAAATGAATCAAACTTAAATCTTGTGGCCATAGACCAGATGAGGAAAAAAGAACTTTATTTATATGAATAAAAATAAGTGT